AAACCCGAGTACAAGTCTCCACCACCACCTTACGTCTACAACTCTCCACCTCCTCCTCCTTACTACTCTCCCTCACCGAAACCCGAGTACAAAACTCCACCACCACCTTACGTTTACAGTTCTCCACCACCTCCTCCGTACTACTCTCCCTCGCCGAAACCCGAGTACAAATCTCCACCACCACCTTACGTTAGTTCTCCACCACCTCCTCCATACTACTCTCCCTCGCCGAAACCTGAGTACAAGTCTCCACCACCACCTTACGTCTACAACTCTCCACCTCCTCCTCCTTACTACTCTCCCTCACCGAAACCCGCGTACAAATCTCCACCACCACCTTACGTCTACAGTTCACCACCTCCTCCTTACTACTCTCCTTCTCCAAAACCCGAGTACAAGTCTCCACCACCATCGTACGTTTACAGTTCTCCCCCACCCCCAACATACTATTCTCTTTCTCCAAAACCTGAGTACAAATAAGCTCCACCATATGTTAAAAGCTTTGTACCTCATTCAATGTACTCTTCATCTCGATGCCTTGCATACAAGTCTCCATCATCATCATCATCATCATCATCATCATCTGTCGAAGTTGAATAATATGTTACTTTTTAAGCAATTGAATGCACATCGAGTTTTTGTTTTCAACTATTTTTATTTTCAGTTTTGATTCTTTTGACGCGCGGTGTTTTCTGTTGTTATGTTAAGTTACTCACCACTTGGGTGAAGTGTTTGTATTCCTCCGTTTATTTCTCAATGGAAATGTTTGCATTTGTTTATCGAAAGTTGACTTCTATACATTTACTATTATTGATTGGAAAATAAAGGGAAAATAACATATAAATACCTAAACTTTTATGAAAATCCCATATAAATACATGAACTATAAAACTTCCATATAAATACCTGAACTTTTAAAAATCCTATATAAATACAAATACCTAGATTTTTAAAAAATTTCTCAAAAAAATATATATTTCATATATTTTTCAAATAAAATAGGTGATGTCATTAACATATTTTGGATTTATTTGAGAGTTTTTCAGAAGCTTAGGTATTTATGTAGGATTTTAAAAAAGTTAAGGTATTTATATAGAAATTTTATAATTCAGATATTTATTTGGGATTTTTATAAAAATTTAGATATTTATATGCGATTTACCCAAAATTAAAAGTATGGTTCGTTTTGGGATCGATGACACTAGTAACTAGTGGAAAACGAGTGATATCACAAAGTGTTATGGAGAACCATTTGGTATCATTAAAAGAACACACCTCAAGTGTGTGAAATACACAAGAAAATAATTCAAAAAGTATTCAAATTTCGAACCAACCAAAAATAATGAAATTCGTTCTAAATTTCTAACTTTTTGTAAGGGGCATTTGGAGATTTGGTTTGTTATTTGTTCAATTCGAGTCATTTGATAATAGAAAATTTACTTCATTTATAATAATCCGGTTCGGTTTAGGTTTACATTCAATTTTAAAAAACATTCTTTCAAATTCAGTTTTAATATTTGATTCGAATTGATTCAAATTTGTTTATTCAGCTTTCAAAAAAAAAAATAATTGTTCAGAATTTCTTAACGGTTGGATTCGGGGACAGTATTAATTTTTTCAATTCGATCCAGTTAGATTCGAGTTTCAGTTTCAAATCGCCTCGTATCGTATCCCTATGTATCGGAAACCACATGAAGACAAGAGGCAAAAGGGCGAGAAAGCGAACATGAGTGCCAAGGGACGAGACGGCACAAAACAGTGTCACGACGAGGCAAGAGGGCGAGAAGGCGCGATGAGATTTAGAGATTTCTTATAGTTAGGGTTTGGTGGGCGGTTTTTAGAGATTTCTGATTTCACGTGAGGGTTCCGAAAAAAAAAAAAGGGTTTTAAGTATTTCACGTTATCCCTTACCTCACCGTCTGTTCCTCACTCCTCGTATGTCATTTCCGATTCAGGGCAAATCCGTGCTCGATCTGGTAACGCAGAGCCAAGCTCTCGAACACTCATCGCCGTTTCCGCACGAGATCGGGAAATACCATGACCCGTTCTCGGATTCCTTATATAAATAAAGATTTCCAAGTCGGTTAAACAGAAAAGTATCAAAGGCAACAAAACCCGAAGGATCAAGAATAATGATGATATACCTGAACAACAACTGAAAACGGAGATGGCATTTCAAGCTTCAAGCTACCTTTCACAAAGGTATATTGAACCTGCAAGAATTGTAGAAACACCATAAAATCGGAAAGTGCAGAGTACTTCAGCATATCCATATGCACCTCAAACTTGTATAAACATCGCCCGTATATCAGCAAACTCATCAAACCCGCATCAAAAGAGCAACCAAAACAGCGTCCAAACTCATCAAAAGAGCAACCAAAAGCAGTGCTCAGTTGCAACTTACATATCTTCCTCCATAATTCATCAAATTTTCTGTCTCGTTTTCCATTATAGTGATAATAGTTACACCAAAGCCCCAAGCTTTGGTACTTGCATTGGGTATCGGAATCGATTCAAGAGGTTTTATCAGCACTGATTAATGCTTCAAGCTACTTAGAGTGTAAATGGCAACGATGTGATTACTAACACAATGCAGAGACTAAACATACCAAGGGCAAAGATTTTCAGGTACCAAAAATGATGAAAGTACCGAAGAAGCAAAATTATCTACCTGATGCCTGTCTTTCCATTTTTGGAAAAAACTGCTCCCTAATAGTTCAAAAATGTGATCTCTCATTTCATCATTCGTCACAAGCAAACACTCGAGCTTAACAGCAGCATAGAGCCAGTACCTGGAACCAAAGACTATATGCCATATCGATAAACTATGAGAAGAGAATCCACCGAAAACATCAAACGAGAAGCATGAATTCATACGGATGGCAGTCATACCAATCATCATTTGAACCAGGTGGTGTGGCATACAATATGCCATTACTAATCCATTCTTCAATCAACTTTCGATGTGAAGAATTCTCCAAAAGTGTTTGGACTCGTTTCTTGTGCAAGAATACAAGTGGCCATTTGTTACCACTTTTGTGATAGAGTTCCTTCACCACAGCTTCGAGCTGCGCTATTGCAAGTGTACATTGCCAATATCACACATAAGTACTTGAAAAGCTCTGGGTAAATTAAGAAAGAGAAATAAGTAATGCGACAATACCTGTGGAAGACTGAAACCGCCATCAGCAAAATTTTGTTGGTAGAGTCCAATATTGGCTCCATCGAGTATAGCTTCATAATCACCATTTTTTTCCAGCAAGAGATAGATAAGCAACATTCAACCAAAAATACAGAGAACAGACAGACAGAATCATTATTTCGAGTTTAACAAGTCTGATTACAGAACCCATAAAAGTTCACTTTCTTTTCTTTTTCTTATCGCGCTTTTCAGTCAATACAGATAAAGATCTCCAACCCACATTAAAACCATACCAAAAAAAAAAAGATATGCGGCTTTCTAATTCAAGAGAAGGAGCATGAACATATACCGACAAAAAATTATACAACATCAACGTCAACATCGCCTTAATCCCAAATTTATTTGGGGGTCGACCATATGAATTCTTCATTTCCACTCAATTCGGTTTTGAGTCAGCTCTTCAGTAATCTTAGGTCAACCCCTCCCTTTTCTCTTCACCCCCATTTTTATGCTCTCCACTTAGGAACATCTATCGGCATACGTTGTACATGCCCAAACCATTTTAAACGCTCATTTCTTAACCTCTCTTTTATACCTATTACTCATATTTCCTCTCTAATATTCTCATTCTAATTATATCCATCCGACGAAAAAATTATACATGATAAGAAAAATTAACAATGTAAAACTAATACAGAATTAGAAACTTTTATTGCACATGAATATCCAAGCAGTTGAGCTTACTATGAAGAGTTATCGAACTTTACTAATAACTTACAATGCCAAAACCAGTATATAACACAAGCAAAAAGGAAACCGAAAATAATATTTCATCACTCACTTGGAACTCACTGAAGTCCACTTTCATCTCATCTGAATTCATGATTCATCTTTGCCTTCCTCTCAATAGCCAAAGCTGCCAAAGAATCCGCACATTTCTTTGTCTCTACCTCATTTGTATCAACACAAGCCAATTTGTGAGAAGACACCTCAAACATTTTCCAGTCGTGCTCACATCTCCTCTCTTCAGTGTCCACTTTCCCTTCCTAACCCACCCATGTCCATGCCACCCACCCCCATTCTTTGACACGACTTCTCTAAGCAATCCCATATCACTACCGACACCATTGTCACCGACCTCACTCGCTCTCTCACTACAAAACCATTCCTTGATGATTTTACCGTTTCCTCACTAACGACACCAACAAATTCCCTCAATTTATGTAAATATCTGTAAAGCTTACTCTCTTGCAATGTAACAGAGCTTACCTTCAGCAAAGCCGAGATCTCTGCCTCCTCCAACGTCACCCCTGAAGAATCCATGTGTTCCTCCACTTCATAGGCCTTTTCGGCCTCCAGTTTCTCACAGAAACAAAGCAATACAGGAGAATATGTCCTCAGACGTGGTGTGGATCCCCCACCCGCAACCATGTCCCTCACAAGCTTGAAAGCATAATCGCCATCACCTTTGGCCGCAGCGAGCCGAACCATTGCAGTTATGGAGGCCTCCTTAGGAGTTATCCCGGAGGGACCATACGGTCAAATATCTCGAAGCCACGATCAATGGCTAGGGTTTTGAGCTAGGGATCGGTCACAGAGGCAGAGCAGAGGTAAAGAAGGGTCTGAAAGTGCTGCTGCCCAATATGGACATTTCCAGCAGCATCGAACAGAGCCACGGCGGCTCTGAGGTCCTTGGATTTGGAACAAGTATTGAGATTGACAAGGAGACTCGTCTCTGGATTGTGTTTTGCCTTCTTCCTTTTATTGGGTTCCGAGGGGCTCTCGTCATGGTGACGAACTCGATGTTGATCTGCAGCAGTCATGGAATCAAACCGTCGGCAAGATGAACAAAGAGACCCTAAAACCCTTTCACAAGTCACTTGCAGTATTTATCAGATCTTTGGATTGTGTTTTGCCTTCTTCCTTTTATTGGGTTCCGAGGGGCTCTCGTCATGGTGACGAACTCGATGTTGATCTGCAGCAGTCATGGAATCAAACCGTCGGCAAGATGAACAAAGAGACCCTAAAACCCTTTCACAAGTCACTTGCAGTATTTATCAGATCTTTCCCGTATCTCAAAAGCATCACTGTAACAAAGAAAACTCATGACTTTGTATCCACATTCAATACCCAACAGAAAAGAGAAAATCAAGCATAAACAATACGGAATCAAATTAAACTTGTGCCTTCATGAACTTGTAAAACCGAACACCGTCTTGATCGATATAACTTTCATTGTCTTCAACCTTGGAACTTTTACAAACTAACAGTTAAAGCAGGAAGCTTTCAATAGACTTGCCATGAAAATAATTTTAGAGGTTCTGGAACACCATTGTTGAAAGCTTATATGGTAGATGTTCAAAAAAACTCTTTTTCTAATTACTAGTTTGTAAGAGGTCACTATTTTCAGTTACGTGGTTCGATTGGATTCTCCTCAGAGACATTGTGAACAAGGAACAAAATCAGGCAGACCAGAGAACCAATCAATAAATTATCTCTTGCCGGTCCACAGTCTGACAACATATGCATATATGCAAAGCCATACCGTCCATCTCGGAAACAAGTTGCAGCAATGACCTAAACCAATGCTAGACTATATCCTCCAACTACGAAGTCCACGATTCCTACATATAATCCCAGATTTTCGTAAGGCTGTATGATTGACGTTATCCAATGCTGAAATGTAATAGTAAGTTTTTTTTTATAATCTGGAAGTTCCCCGTGCCAAAGGCCCGACAATATCTCCTTAAAGATAGGAAAACCCATGTGAATGCCTCCCTAACTCGGACCCGGGTTGGGAAATGTAATATAAGTTAGTCTGAACTTCTAAACATTTAATAAAACCAAACCGAACTACCATCACGTTGAAATCGTCGAAGTCACAGAAGAAAAACAGAATCAGAAACAAGAAAGCAGAACGAAATCGTCGAAATTAACGATAAGCAGATCATGTTCGATTCATCAAAAGAAAGCAAAACACATAAGCAAAAAATAAAAAAGCAGAACAGAAGCAGAAGAAAAATCATGGAAATCGCACAAGCGGAAGAGAAATCGTTGAATCGTACCTGAGCTTGACGGTGGCGAACAGCGGCCGACGAATCGATGGAGACAGGCTAAGAAATCGCGAGAAGCGCAAAAGGGGAAGAAAGAAAAAATTAGGGTTTGGGCTCGCAACTCGGTTGCTGTAGGTTCCCAACGGATCAAAAGTATTTGAACCAACGGTCAAACTCATAGTTAACTCGCGAACCTGAGCTTGTTATAATGGGCTGAAGGGCCCAATAATTTTGGGTTCATGAACAAATAATCTTGGTTGGCCCACGAAGCCTGTTAGATATCAACGATATCAACCTTTTCATTTCATTCCGTATTTTTTAGGAAAATTCTTTAAAAATACATTAAAACTCTTGAATAAATAGACTGATTCTTATTAAATGTTTGATATAAATTTATGATTTTTTAGATATTATTGTACATACACCGAAATAATAATGATGTTAAATTATATTGAACGAATGTTTAGTATATAGATATTTCGAGCATTGTAAATTGGCTTATTGTTCTTAAAATATAGATATTTCAATTCCGGTGAAAATTTGGTAATATTTTGAAATTTCTTACACTTATATGAATTCACTTATATATTTATTAAAGAATATATAAGTTGACAAATTATGATATATATATATATATATACATATATATATTATTTGCATTTTATTTTGTATCCTTCAATACCATTATCCCGAAAACAATAGTACTATTTTTGGAAAATTCATCAATGAATTGAAATAATCAATAGGCAATAAGTTTACAATAGATAATTCGGGAAGTAATTTAGGTGATATATAGAAAATGATTGCAAAATCGATACAACAATATCACTATAACACTAATGCACCGGATCTTATCAGAACTCCGCAGGTAAGCGCGTGGGGAGGGGCATTCACCTGGGTTTCCTCGATCCTCTGGGAAATGTAGTCAGGCCAAAGGCCCGGTGAACTTCCGGATTATAAAAAAAAAAAAACAATATCACTATATATATTATCAATGTAACATTGATTGATTTGTATAAAATAATGATTCATGTTTTTATTTTCTTTTGTAAATCTATTTTTTTAGCACATGAGTGATGACACCAGGAATATGTGTGTTTATCATATAGTCTTCCCAATCAATACATTTGGGATCGAAATTGAACAATTCCTCCTTCCTCTCCAGTCGTAGTCTTTGACTGTTTATATCATCAAATCTGCATAAAAAAAATTAAAAAATTAAATAAAAATATTAATCAACAAAAAAATATAACTTAATATTTAATGATGTTAACCTAATCCAAAGTATAAAAATAATTCAGTTTTCTTGAAATAGCAATTTCTTCCCTATTTTGGATAAAAAAAATATATATATATTTAGAGGTACAAAATAAATAAATAAATAATTTAAAAAGCTTGATATCACTACATACATGCCCTTGAAGAGTACGTAAGGCTTGTAAAGCTCTATCATTCTCATCACCAATCTGATCTTGCGGTCGAGTTCTTCATATTTGTCTCCATATCGCCGGGGGTAAATTACATTAATCAACCATAACAACTGCTATAAATTAAAACAATTAGTGATAAAATATTACAACAACAAAAAAAATTTCAAAAAGGGGGGAAAAACGAGTCGAAGAAAGTTAAGAGATTTTTAGCGAAATTTCCAAAAAGTAAGGGGTCAGTTCTCTAATATTAGAAAACTTAAAATTTGTGAACCTGCAAAGGAAGCTTGTAACATAGGGTCACGAAGAGGGTGAAGCGAGCCATAGTCGATAGGATAGTGAAGTGGGAAACTACGACGGGCGAGCCATCACGGCCGATCAAAGGGTTTTTGCGGAAGTATCGAGCGGCAAACTCAGGAAGCTGTCGTAAAATGAACGGATTTTGGCAAGATGAACCGACATGGTACACCATATGAGCCTCGGGATCGCCCTTATGCGCAGCCGCGGCCACAACCATAGCGTTCGCCACCATATCTACCGGTATCTATATATGTCGTTTTCTAATAGTTAGATAACTTACAATCCAGAAAATAACTTTTTTTTTTATGAAACAAAAAATAACTTCGTTGAAGGCACTAATTATAATATTACTACTATAGTGACATTGAACGATATAATATATATATGTGTATGTGTGTGTGTGTGTTTATATATAAAGTAATGAATTGAGTTGGTGAAGAGATATAAATGTATATGGGTGAACGTTGAAAATTATGGGAGGCCCTTGCCCTATTGTAAGTGCTGCCGTACTTGTACGGACCACCGTTTGTGGCCAATGTTTGAACAATTTGTTTGATTTTTTTTTACTAAAAAGAGCGTTTCCACGAGAAGGTGGTCGGTCCATTTTATTTCATATTTGTTGCTACATATATTTTCACGAGACTTAGCTATCAGAAGGAACGGCATGCACTAAAACTGTACTCACAAGATCAAAGACGGAGTTCGGATCACCAAGAAAGCACTTGAGCTTCCCTTTTCCATACGCTACGATCACGCTGTCGATGGTTCTGTACGTACCCGATAACCCACGTAAACCAATATATATATATATATATAAGTATATTTGAGAATATTATTATCAGTATTTTTAACCTTACCCTATCATATTTTTCAAACCGAGTCAATTGCTACGTAAGTAAATATGTGTAATATATAAATAAATAAAATAAATCAAATATATATGGAGCATTTAGTTTGACGTAAAGTACCTTGATAACACCTTCGAGTTTGTTCAACAAGGAATCTTGATAATTGGAAACCGACTTAAATCCTCCGAAAGGTTGATCGTAGAGATTAATGGTCATGTCATTAGTGCCCACACTAATCACGAACAAAGCGTTACTAATCACCCGATTAGTCTCCCCATCTCCCACCGCCTTCTTCATCTTTCCGACAGCCTCATCGAAGTAAGTCAACTCTTTGTCCATTGTCAAAGCCGACGACAACCTCGCCGTCCGGTCGTCTAAACCGGTCCCCGCCGAGGCAAAGCTGACTCCGGTCAATAAGTCACCGGGTTGGACCGTGGGGTCGAGGTAAGCAGGCAATGTGGGCTTGAGACCAAGAAACGATGCCAGGAAATCGGTGGTGAGTTTTCCATTGGAGAATCTTCCGGTGGAAAGTTTCCCCGGAAAATCTATTCCGTACGGAGAATGGTTTCCCCGGAAAATGGTAGGAATGTAATTATTGTTGCCGGGATCCACCGTGGAGTCGCCGAAGACGAAAAGGGCGGTAACCGGTGGAGAAGGTGATGCATGTGATTGGTAGGAGAACAGGAGAAGAGTGAAGAACGTAAGAACGGTGGTGATTTTGCGACTAGGGTTCATCATTGTTTTAGATTAGGGTTAATTAATCATGAAATTTTGATCTAATTTCGTGGGAGATTAGTGGATATATATAATTTACCTCAAACCTTCAATCCAACCAGGAAATGGTTCTGAGAAAGTGCTCGTGATCATCGAGGGACGCACGATGACAAGAGGCATGCTTCCTCTGTTATCCCCCAAAAGCATCTCCCCCATTGCTTTGGTGAACACGTACGTGTTTGGCCATCCATGAAGCCTTGCCCTAATCAATCTCGATCGTTTCGCTCGATTTCAATGGCATGGAAGGAAACCGAATACACATTCGGTCGGTCGATATATATAGAGTGGTGACAAGGGGCGTGCGTACCTTTTCATTCCGAGATCTTTCAACGAGTCCGCAGTTTCGTCCTCTGAACAATCTCGATTGTGGAGTTCTTTCAATGTTCGCCTCATCAACTCCATTTCCGCGTTTATGTCTAATTTTCCGTTTCCGTTAAGAGTCTCTAATGATTTCTCTAGTAACAGTCCCGACTTCTCTCCGCAAACATAAGCTAGAGAAAAAAAAAAAGTACCGGTTTAGTAACTATACGATATGAAAAATACGTATCCGTATGTGCGCTTTTCGTTAACCGAAAATCAGAAAGATCACTCGCCGGTTGAGACATGGAGAAGCAACTGTGGTTTCACGCAATTTTTGGCGAAGTTCAGGACATTGAGAGCGCCGAATGTATTGATGCCAAGAGCAATGTCATATCTTTTTTACGTAGAAAGATCAAAGATTGAAAGGGGAAAAAGGTTAGAGTTCATATATATATATATATGTATGTATGTATTCTTTAACAAAAACTGTATGAAATGGAAGATTCCTAAACAATATCATTAATGTCATGAACATCGATCTTCAAATGGTTTCGAATGTTCCACGTGACTAACTCGGGAAGAAATTAATATCGGTTATTCATCCCTCGGTCCATATATATACAGGACGCACCTTTCATCGAAATTCGTATTGCCAGCTACATTCACGACGACATCGATATGTTCCCACATCTGTTGTCTGAGATCAAAGTCGTCAACTCCTAGATCATCCATCGAGATGTCACCGGGGACCGGTACGACTTTTTCCGACACAAACTTGTTCAGATTTTCGTCGCCGAGATCCTTTTTCAATACCCTAAACAGATCTTTCTCAAGGACCTGCGGTTATAATGTAAAAAAACCCAGTTTTAAAAATGGTAATTATCATTTATATAACACAATGCGATGAAGTATTTCGATTGATTAGTTAGTTACCTCAATGCGTAAGCGTTGCATGGCCGATTCCTTAGTTGGGGCCCTAACGAGTAGGTAAAGCTTCTTCACGTTTGGTTGCACCCTCAGGATTTTCTCCACGAACACTATTTATTAGGGTTCAAATCAAAATATCATCCAAAAATTAAAAATAATTTCATAAAAGTATGATTAGTGATCGTTTATATAGCACTTTAACATGAAATAGTTCGAATCTTACGTCTCCAAGATCCTAAATCTATTGAATGATATAGCCTATCTCCACAGCATGGATCTTGCATTAATAAACATCAACTCCGTACACTTTGAAGATTCAAAGAACTCGATGACATCAATATATATACATAATTATATATATATATATATATATACATATATATTATACACATGTTTTATATTTTAATACCTAAATGACTCGAAAAAACATCACAAACGGATTGCTTTATTTTACACCTATAATAATAAAACAAACTTATTTTCAAAAATTTCCATGAACTATACGTGATCTTAATATTAGTTTAGGGTTATTAACAGATCGAAAATAAAAAATTAAGGTCGTACCCTTTGCAAGGAAACCCGAAGCCCCCGTGACGAGGATCGTCTTGTTATGGAGAAATTGAACACAATTGGGTTCCATTGTTAGCTCAATGAAGAAATAAGAGATATGAAATGGAAGGTTTGGGGGCATACAAGAGACATTGATCTAAAGGGGTTTATATAGATACATTGAAGTGAAGACTTGTATTTGTATACATTGTCGGTCCACCACGTTAGTTATCTAGAATCCGTACCTACAATCATTAGGAAATATATATGATAAAACAAAATAAAAAATAATTTCTCTCACCGTCCAAGAAACGTACCGAAATTCCATCTTTCCGGGCTACAATATTCGGTTCGACGAATCGTTTAGCAATGTAATGAGATTGAACCGGGTTTGGTTTAGAACGGTTATGTACGAATTTAGCGGTTTCCATTGAGTTTTGCTAGCTTTTATGAGTTTGGTTTGTCAAGAAATAAATTCGATTGAAAATAATTTAAATGGAATTAGCTTCTATTCAAATTTGGTGGGAAGCCGACCTAATCTGCCCCACCTATATACGCCCTAGCATTGTATTCTGTAATTTGTTATATTTAATAATTTAATAATTTAGAATGTGAACATTTATTCCCCGAGAACATAATAAATAACAACATTTATGAAATATACAAATAAAATTATATTGTTAATGTTATAAAAAAAAAACTTTACAATATGATTAAAAAAATATAAAAACAATGGAAAAGGTCTCTAAATGAAAGAACTAAAGTTTTTTTCATGGAAATAACAAAACACTAAATCTAAAATTGGAGTTATATAATAGAGATCCAAAATTGTCAACAAAGACACCCGTTACAACAAAAAATGCCAAAAAGATGGCCAAATGAAAACTGAAAATGAGTTAAAGCCCAAAAACACGAATTTTTAAATCGAAATTTTATTAGAATTATATTCATTTTAAAATTGAACTGATTTTTAACCTGTAACCCCCTACTAATCGGTCCAACTCATCATACAATACATAATCCGTCCAAATTTTATTAGAATTACTAAACAATCATTGCGTTCCAATCATGATTCAAAATTTAATATTGTGTGAAAAAAATGGCAAAGAGATAAACAATCTCGAAACTGTTACAACTTACAAATTGACGAAATTTAGTTTTGTCTTATGTTTTGGGCAAATGTCTTGTCCGTGAAACATGTAATTTCAAATATTTTTCGTGAAAGAAAACACATAATCTCATTAGGAAGATTTACGGGGGCATGATACAATGTTAGAGATCTTTCCCGAATCTAACTCATTACATTTAAAAAAATAAAAATAAAACCCAATAACACATTATTATATCAGAATCAAATTCAATCTGAAAATTGATTGTGTATCAAGCGCTTTATGTATAGACTAATTTAATTCAAATTAAATTTGAATTCGATGTAAAAACAATTGAACAAAATTTAATAGATTTTTTAACATACATAATTTTTTTTATAAAACTAAAATACCCAAAATCCAAAAATAAAATAAATATAATTTTATTCTAATAATGGAAACTGGAAATATTAAAGTTTTTTTTTTTTGCTATAAAAATAAGAAAAAAAATTTACAACTCTAAATTAAATAATTAATAACCTAACGTATTTTTTTCCTCCGATTATCTCTCTCTTCCTTTGTGTTCTAGAAAAAAAAAACTCTAATTAATAGTGTTGGTTACATGTTGTTAATTGCAGTCTAATCCTTTTTATGCAGAGCTTACCCTTCGAACAAGAGAAAAATATTTGTGAAAAAAAAAAGAAAAAAGAGAAAAATATCCTGAATTATATTTTGAGAAAATCAAAGCAGGTGGGGGTCGGCACCTTTGATTTTTGACTTACTGGTTAGACATTTAAGGAGTGATAAAGTTAAAATTGGACACACCACGAAAACCCACGTTTAATTCGCTCATGCCACATGTCGGACCAAAAAGAGATTAAAAAAAATACTACAAAAAAACAATATTTTTAAAATAATTATTATTTTTTTCTCAGTAAATGTGATGTTCATGAACAAGTGACTTGATGATTCAAGGAAAGCTGCCGAATCATGTGATATATGCTTCGGGAAGGACATCAACGTTAGGCTTGTGACAGTTTTATTATTTTTTTTCTATAATAATCTTTTAAAAAATAACAATGATTTGATAATGTTAAGGGTTTGATAATATACAAGATTTTGAAAAAATAGGATTCGATTAGATTAACGCAAAAATGGGTTAAAATGGAATTAACTCTAGATTAAAAAGGAAACTTCACGTTTTTTTAATTTAGTGAATACGTCTAATAAGATTGTATTCAAAAGCTAAAGCTATAATTTTCAAGTAACCTACAAAATCTTGACTAAATCTCTAGATGAGTACACATTCAACTTTTTAACGTGTCAAATCAAATTTCATGTGGGAATCCTTAACATTTAATGATGTTGATAAATATGGATGGATCGAACTAAAACGCATTGATTAGTAATTAATGGGGTTAAATCCTAACCCATCTAGGACCGTTAATAAAGAAAAACACGTTGATTGAATCCATATCTAGTTAGTAATGGGTCCATTAATTAAACCCAACCATATTGACATTACTCTTTATCTCATGTTATTCAACATGACCCAAGTATGGGTATTACCTTACCCTTATCACACTCTAACAATTTAACTACCAATTTAAGTTTATAAATTGAGATTATTCGTGATTTGGATTTAAAGATCTAACAAATATATATATATATATATATATATATATATATATATATATGACATAAATACAAAAATATTACTTACATTTATTGATAATCACTAAAATATCTGTAATTTTTATTTCAAATTTTAAAATATTTCTGAGTATTACTATAAAAAAGTTATTTTTAAATTATGAGGGATATCGGATGTCTAAATATACTCGAATATTTTTTTAGATTGTTACAAACGAAACTACGTACGTACGTATGTATGTATGTATGTACTCATGATCATGCATGGATCAGCCACGTAACAAACCACGTGATAATATTTTTATTTTCATACATGGATCAGCCACAAACCGGCTCCACCATCTTATTCTCTGATCCTTACATAACCACATTATACATACTCAGTCCCCATCCTCTACGTACGTACGTAGCCCTTCGTCACAACACATGCATCACTTATTATCAGTTTCATTCTTCGATATACATTACATATAATATCTTATTTTGTTGAAAGAATGAAACTCCAAAGCAAAAGATCTTACGCTTTTAGATTTGAATTCCAACGAAATCATTGGAAACGTATTTAACCAGCCCGGGAATATGGGTTTTCAGAAAATAATCTTCCCAATTGATGATCTTTGGATCCAAGTAGAACACATCCTTCTCTACTCCCGTCTCCGACGCCGTCCTTCGCAGTTTTTCCGCATTCGTATCATCGAATCTGCCATATATATATATATATATACATACGTATATTCCGATTAGTACTGTAATCAATGCGATGAATCTCATGCCGGACCGAATTCTAACCAAGAACTGTTAAGAGTAAGAAACGGACTTACACTCCGTAGAAGAAAAGGTAAGGTCTATAAAGATCGGCAAGCCTCATTACGAAATCGATCCTCCTGTTGAAATCTCTACATTTCTTTTCGAATAATTTGCACAACACCAGGTTTATCAATTCCAATACCTGAAATAAATTAAAAAACAAAAAACAATGACCATACCGATGAAAATATCATACCAAACCGGTTCATTTAAAAAAAAAAATAATCTAAAACATGAACCGGAAATTGGTCTCACCTTCAAGGGGATTTGGTAACGTATGGCCATGTATCTATAGAAACTAGGCATTGAACTCAGAATCTTGAGTTCACCCACGTGAACCGGCTTCCCTTCTTTATCGATCCACGGTTTGGCAGTGAAATACCAATATCCGAAATCCAGCAACTTGGAATTTTTTAGCGTGTTTGTAGCCGATGAACCGATATGGTATATTACTTGGCTCGGTTTACCGGCTTGAGCTACCATGGATACTAATATCGAATTCACCACCATATCTCCGGGTATCTGTTTGAAGAAATTAAAAAAAAAATATTGGCGAATGTTGATCGTTTTAAAAGTTCAGGGCCTAATTGAGATATTCCAAAATGATCAAGGATATTCTTACAAATGACACGAGTCTAATTGACTTCAAGCAAAGATTTGATGTGTACTTACGATGTCCGAAATTGCGTCGAGGCCGACAAGGAAGGATGTGATTTTGCCTTGACCATATCCAATGGGTATATTATCGGCCGCCCTGTCAGAAAATTATTTTATACAATTACGCTCCAAAAAGGAAAAAAAAGTCTAAATTCAGCCCCAAAACTTGAAACTGGATACATTTGCCCCAAAACTTCTGGGAATTTCCTTCAATATCAGAGATCGGTGGCCTCTGAATAAACTTAATTGAAGAAGAAGGAGATACCTAAATCCTTCTGTCCAGCCGGGGAAGGGCTCTTTGAAAGTGCTTGTAATAATAGTGGGACGAAGAATCACAACGGCAACATTTTCCCGTTTCGCCCCTATCAACATTTCCCCCATCGCCTTTGTAAACACGTACGTGTTCGGCCATCCGTACATCCTTGCCCTACACATTCGCGCGAACAACGTCGCAATCGCAATCGCAATCGCAAACGCAAAACGCAAAAAGCAAACGGGAAATGCAAGTGTAGTTTTTAGAAAGCTAATTATGTACATGATACGAACCTAGAGAGTCCCAAATCCTTCATGGCTCGAGTGATAGTCCCAGGTGATGCTCCCGTGGCTCGGAGTTCCTCGAGCTTCTCTTCCGCTAAGTTCTTTTCATGGTCGATGTCCAGACCGCCTTTCCCGTTCAACGTCTGACCAACGTGGTACGGCGTCTCTCTTATCACTCCCGATCTTTCCCCGCACACATAAGCTATACATACATACATATATACACATGTTAGAAGTAGTTCCAAATAATTGTTTGTATTCGATGAAAATATGAGATCCTGGACCTAATGTACATGCATGGATGTATTGAAGTGCATTTTTCGTCAACACAATACCGAGTTCTTGGAACTTATTAGTTGTATTGAATCTACTTGTTAATTAGTGCATACGTATAGTATATATAGATATGAAACATATATATATATATATAGGTGTATATGTACCTGTAGATACATGCACAAGCACTTTAACCTTGGCACATTTCTTGGCAAAGTTCAAGACATGGGCAGAACCCAATGCGTTGGTCCCAAGTGCAACATCATATCTAACGATCGATCCAAAGCTTTTAATATTAAAAAAATGATATATATATATAGAACGACACATTGATATGAACGTATAAGTGTGTGTCTACACACACACACACACCTCTCATTAAAATTAGTAGTAGCAGCCATGTTGACGATGACATCGAGTTCATGGATCATGTCAAGGGCCAACTTGGAGTCTTGAAGACCCAAATCCTCAAAGGAGATGTCTCCAACCACAAGCTTGACTTTTTCTGATATCAAGGGAATTAGATTTGGACCGTACTTCTCCTTCACCACCCCGAACAATTCATTCCCCAAAATCTGTATACATCAAATACAGACATTAACATCAAATGTGATACAGATATATAGCCCAATTAGCGTTATGCCCGAATCTATTTAGAGTCGTTAGCTCACATGAAATCAATAGATATTTATATTCTTATAGAAATGGGTGGACTCCATAGATTATATATAATGTGCTATCAAATTAGATTTAGATTAAAAGTGTTGATCCAAAATATTATTAGAAATATCCTAACGCTAGTTTCTATAATCCTTCACAAATTTAGTAAGTCCTCGTGAACACTTTTACATACACATATTCAATTTACCATAACCTGTAACAGGGACAACACGCAAAGAATGTCCGTTAAGAACAAAAGAGAGGCTCGCCCGTTAAGAACCTTTTGTTTCAGACAGAGGATTTCGGTTCTGCTGGTTTAGCGTGAACCGAGGATCGA